ACGTCAACACACAGGAAAGGTTATACTCCTAGGAGTAAGACAAAATTAATCCCTAACAGTATGTATTAATTTGTATTAGTATAAATAGTATAAGCACTATTGGATGTAAATGTGGACACTAAAGTAATTGTGCAGTAGGACCATCAAATAAGGTGCCATGGTAATTTGGATATCCCAGTCTAACCAGTGACTTTACTTTACAGTAGTCAGGCAGCTTCACTTGTCTCGGAGAAAAGAGACAGCTGACTCAGAAGACTTCAGTCTTCTCAGACACACACAAACACTAACTCTGCTCAAACTTTACTATCATGCTGACACTTTGAATCTGTAATTAGCTTCGGAGCACTTCTAAATGTAAGTATCAGGACAGCTGCACACACTTAGACACATACTCTGCCAATTGCCTCTTCAATCAAGGCTGACACATAATACGATATAGCATTCCTTTTGTCTAAAGACTTTAGACCTTGACTCTCCGCTACCTATACATTCAGAGAAGTTTAAATTAGACATGATGCTGCAGAGCAGGCCACACATTGCTCACACTACATTATTTCCTATTACAGCAACCATCACTACCAACAGAACAGCTTTTTGCAGTTGTCAGTGGAAAGCTTTGGAAGAAGGGTAAGGGAACTTGGCTAACGGAATTACATATCAGATTTGTTGAGGGATCTCCCAATCAGAGCTGAGTTCTTAATTCCTCCATCCCCTGTTATCTCTCTACTTGTAAATCTCAAATGAAGGCATAACAAAAAAGCTAGCAAAGTTCTTAAAGAATTGCGACGGAAAGGTGACAACATCCATGGATGATTACTGCAGCTGTTCACCTTGTTATAGGTCCACACAAAGATAACACGTGTTTAGGTTAACTGCTATTCGAAACCACTTTTACTACTTGTGTCCTCTAAAAAGACGCCTGCTGGACAGATAGGCCCCTTGCAACAAACTAGTGAAGGCCAAACAATGACTAATGGTGACGTGAAACTAAATGGCAGCTCTGAGGAAGTTTGTTACAGAAGCAGATCAGCACATCAAAACATTATTCCACACTTGAGCACAACAGCCTGGATATCAAGAGAGGAGTTGTTCCAGAGGAGCTGGACCAGGAGGAGCAGGAGGACCAGTGACGGCCATACAAAGTCGCTCTGGTCTCAGCCATCATCAGAACAGTGAGTGGCTTCTGAGAATTTGATGCCCTCATCACACCCAGCCCTGTGTTCTGATTGTGACTTCAACTAAATCCAAGCTAATCATCTGGCTGGAAAAGTGAATAACCATCTTTCAAACTCACCACTTGGCTCCAGGATACAGGAGCTGATATGTCCAGTTTCCAAACTAAAAAGTCACCCATAAATCCCAAGAGGCGGGGGAAAGAAGGACCTGCATTTTAAATTGACAGGAAGAGTGTAGATGGGTGGAAATCTGGTAGTGTCACTTGTCTGTTGACTTGTCTTTCAGTCGGGAAAGAGCTGACACAAAAACACACATCCAGTACACCAGCATAACCACAGCATACATTTTTCTATCATGCTGACACTGTGAAGCTTCAGTTAGCCTTTGAACTCTTCAAAAACATCAAAGTAAGTAATAACATGACCTGTGTAAGCAGCCAGATTTGACACCTTTGCTCCTTTTATTTTTCTTTATTCATTGTTATCATTTGTATCTTATAAAACAAGACCGGACATATTATCAGCAATATGATATGTGACTGCCTGCATGTGTCTCAGTCCTTTTCCTTTCATTAAGAGGACACAGTTATTCGGAGGCGAGACTTGAAGCGCTGCTTGCTTCTGACGTAAATGGGCAAGCGAACGCATTACCAACAGCTTTCTGCGAGCTCTGCCATTCCCTCCCCCTCCTTCTCTGTATCTTGTACCCCCTGTAGTCTCTCGCTCTATGTATTTGATTAGTCTCTCTCAGGCAGTCAGATTAGAGTGCTGTTTGCTGTGCAGAGACCCATCTGCATACAGCGGTCGGTTTTAGGCTGTGGGTTAGCCCCCACAGCTTCCAGGCCCCTAATGCAATCTGAGCCATTAGGATACAATGGAGCCGGTGTAGGGCAGCGATTAGAGCATGTCTGATAGAGTGGGGCCAACCCAGTGGTCTATTAAGAAGAGCCATGCAGCTACGCAATGCCCTTACTCATCACCTCTCTGACGTTTATCATGTTGGCGGACTTTTCGTTATTTTTTGACTGATCTTGAGGTTCAGTCAGTATGCGGCTATGTTATTCAGTGCTAAGAAGTAGCCTTCTTTACTCTGGCATTTCTATTTAATTATTTTCTATCACATATTAGAAGGATATATTGGACTGTGTCCCCACCACATTTGTCTGACAGCTGTAGCTACAGGTTACTTTGCAGACAAGGAACAAGGAATTGGCTACAAATACTAAGCATATTTTTCAAAATATTGAACTACTCCTTTAAAGTAAAGGACCTGAACACTTCTTTGACCCGTTTGATATTTAGTGAGGGCGTTAGGACGAGAAAGAAGGCTAAACTAAAGGGCTTAATATTGTACGAGTCAGCGTTATAAAACATATGTGGTAGAAATATGTTGAGGCTTATACATTTTTTGTTTTAAGAATGTGATTTATACAATATACTTGTAAAGCTTTTATGTGGCTTTAAACACTGAGGAAGACAAATTAGAGTTGGAGATCAGGTGGAGTGAGGACTCATCATGTATACTACAGTGTTGGCATAGCAACTGCCATCCCACTTTATTATTCCTCTTCGTATTCTATTATTCACTTTCTCGTTCACATTATTTCTCACACCCTACATCTGAAGTATGCTGCGGGGCAGAACTGTGCGCTAACCTTTTCATTCAATGGGCCGCCCATCATTACTCCTCTGTCACTCCCCTCTGCTTTCATTGCTCCAAACTCTCCATCTTGCTCTGCTGCCCCCTAACCTCTGTCGACAATATTAAGACTTGTGAAGATATACAGTGTGGCCTGCCACCATTCCTATTTGCTGCCAGTCCTAATGTCACCCCAGGCCTCTGGCAGCCCTTTTCCCATTTGCTGTGCTTTGATGTGTTGTGTTTGTCAAAGCTCTTTTTCCCTCTTGCTCTCTCTCCTGTGTTTTATTGGCAGAACAGCTGTGAAGAAACTGCTGCCAGAACATCGAAGTTTATGATGATTATTCTTTTATATCATTTAGTTGACTCTTTTATTTTATTTTAGAAGATGACAAAAACATTAGGGATGCCAACTGTGCAGATGTGATCAAATCCACATGAGCTAACATCACACACTGAATTAATCCTTTAAGGGGTGCAGCTAATGATTATTGAAAATGCATCTTCACAACTTAATCAAGTTGAAACCTATCAACATTGTTGCTTTCAAAAATACATAAAGGATGACTTGGTTATCGAGGTTATTGCTTATTAATGTTGTCAGTGTTTGCTTTCCATTTGTTCATCTTGAAATTATCAACAAAACTAAGCCTATCCCTGACTTTAACAAAAACCCTGAGTCTCCTTAAAACTAAAATAATTTCCAACATATTACAGCTGCACTCCCAAAAACACATTTTCTATTCTACTATTTCTGTCCCATTGTCCCCAGTAAAGCTTTATATAAATTGCTTTGATTTGTGATGGTGCAGACCTGACCTTTGACCTTTCTTCGGTCCTTTCTGTGATGGATTTACAGTTGTTGAAGCAGACTCTCCATCACCGACCCATCACGAATCAGCCCAGGGCAGAAAACAACACATTACTACCCTAATGAGGAAGAAACCGGTGAAACAATCCGCAGTCAAATTCAAAGGGACTCGTGTAGAGCATTTAGGGAATAAAAAATGGTAAAAACTAAAATAATACAAATTGATCTTGACAGCAGATCAAACCATATGGCATCATGTCAGAGCTCTTCTTTAGCTGCGTGCATGGGTTAAGCGGGGGCCAATGGCATTGCATAAATACTTGGACATTTCCTGCAAACGATATGATTTGCTTTAGTGATATCTGTCAAATTGCATAATCACAGGATAGGTTGACCTGTTATAAAGAGACATCCTAATCCGCTCCCACACAATTCCGCGTCAGCGCTCATCAGATTAAGGGTGCGCACAGAACTACAATGTTAAACGGATTAGGATAGGTAATACTCTAATTATGCAGGATTATGTCTTATACTCAGTAGAGGTATGGTTATAAATGTATAAATCTATATAATCAGACAAATCCCTTACCTTAAAACTACTGTAGCAGGTTCTCTCTCCTGTCAATTGTGCATCATTTTAATGAGGTCATTAATTGTATTATATGAATGAAATGCAATATAACTTCAGGCTGCCTTAGTGAGTACATTTGTCAGCTCGCTGCTCAGATTAACAGAATGGAAAACAAAGAACAACTATAATATATATAGGGTTACATTACCTTACAACACCTTTTATAGTCTAAAACTCTAAACAATACATATTTGAAGGGTGTTTCTGTATTACTCAATTTGGTTATTTGCATGGTGCTCCTGCTTCTCTTGTTTCCACACCCTCCTCCCAGTCATCCGTGCATTTATTTTGGACATAATAGTATTGGTTTAACAAGATAAACGTTTTTTTAAATGCATTCATATTGCTCCTAAAATGTGAAAATGACTTGCCTCCTGTGTTTCTAACATGAGGTTGCCAGATACAGCTTCCTTTTACGGGTGTAACAGGTGCTTATTTACGCGACTAGATATGCCTTTTATTATAGAGGCCGCCGCCTTTAAGCAGTTTCAAATACCAAACGGATCACATGTTTTCAATAGCAACAGCACAACAAAAAGATAACCCCCAAATAGCAGGAGTAGCCTACAATAAATTAGACATTTGTTTGGCGCCTACATCTTAAAAACCCTGCCACCTGTTTCCGCGCTTATTTCGCTCCTCTGATTCCGTCCAATGGGAATGAACGGCAGGTCTGGAGGCGGAGAAAGAGGGAGAGAAGTTGGAGGAGAGAGTGAGAGACAGATCCGGGGAGACACAGAGCTGTAGATTGAGTAGAAGTCGGTGGAGCCACACATTAAATCACAGACTTCACTGCTCATCTGAGGAGTGTTACTTGACGTCCAGCTTTGCGTTTTTTTTGTTGCCAGTTTATGTCGCTGCATATTTTTTGACATGCAGCCACAGGTTGACTGATTTAATCCAGTCACTATGGATTATTCCTCTTCATCTCGAGTCGATTGTCACTGACGGGATCGAAATGGGCACCGTCGAGAGATCAGCGGTGATTGAGAAAGAATCAAACTGATCGTATCAGGTGGAGACGGAGGCAACATCTGTGGCGAGCGACGCACAATTTCTAGAGACAAGAGAGGGACCTGTGGAGGGACCTTTATGAGAGGAGGCGAAGCGAAAAGATGATGGGATGGCCGTGACAACATGAAAAAGAAAAAGTGTGGTGGTCTATTTTCATCCAGCCAGTGATCCAAAGCAACTAACCTGGGGGACAGGGACCGAGAGAGAAGAGGTAGTAGGAGGTAGGTAGAAACAGACAGGGAGGAGGGGGCCGTGAAGGTGTCTCGTTATATCATGCTGAAAGTAGGTTATTATTTTTGGATTAATCAAATGAAGCCAATCTATGGTTAACTGAGGCATACACACAGTACTTCATGTGCTGTCAAAACGGACTGATGTGGAAGTATTATGCTTTAGTCTCGGAGCTTGATCTCATTGTGAAGCCAGAGGATCGGCACCATCCCTCTGGCTTACATCAGTGTATAACAGATGACATTTTATTGCATAGATTGCTGGAAGCACTGTGGGATGTGAGAGAAAGAGAGGACACTGGGAAACAGAGAGAGAGGTCACTGAGGGAGGCTGGCTGGGCAGCTGACTCAAATGTGACTCAAGGAATAACATATTCCCCAATTATGGCCACTCTTCCTCATTCTGATGCCTCTCTTTGTCACACATCTTCAGCTTTTTGAGTTCAGACTTTACCCTTATTTGTTTTAACTAAGCGTCATCCATCACAATGCTCCCTCCAGCCACTCGCTCGCTCTGTCTGTGCTGTCTGCATTGCTGCCGTCATGATGAATAGTCTGTCCGCGTGTGTACTCTATTTTTCTTTATAGTTCTGCTCTTCTCTTGTTTTGTGTTTGTTTGTAGAAAGGTGCGTGGCCACCACCGTGACCATGGAGCCTCCCCCCTCTCTGAGCTTGGCTCTGCTAGGAGGGAGCAAGGATGAGGACCAGCGCTTCCTCCTTCCCCTGAGCAGTATTTCCCATCCCTCAACAACTGGCAACCAGCCAGGATCAAACCACTCCAACCACATGGGAGGATCAAGCCTTGACCGTTTAAATGGCAGCACCCTGTCCCTGTCCCCTACCACGCCCAACTTACCTCCATCATCGCTCCCTAAGTTGCCCCTGTCATCCTCTGGAGCCCAGCCTCTTCCCCCAGCCATCCCCAACGCCCTGCACCCCACAAGTACCCCCCTCTCCTCCTGCCTGGGCTCGCAGCACAGCCTGAGTGGGGACTCCCCAGTCTACAATGCCCTCTTTTACTCGTCCCACTCACCCTCCATGGAGCGGGACAGGGACAGGGAGAGAGAGAGGGGCTGCAAACACAGGCAGGCCAGCCCCCTGGTCCACCGCCGGGACAGTAACCCCTTCACGGAGATCGCCATGAGCTCCTGTAAGTACACAGGCGGGGTCATGAAGCCCCTGAGCCGCCTCAGCGCCTCCCGCAGAAACCTCATTGAATCAGACAGCAGCAGCGAAACCAAAGAGGGTTGCGTTTCAGCTGTTGCCGGGGCGACCGCCGCTGGGGGGCATGACCGACAGCGAGAAGCCCCTCCTACCTCTTTGGTGGCCCTGTCTTCTACCAATCCACCCCCAATTCATAGCCCTCCAGAGATTGTGATTTCTTCCAAAGAAGACTCGCCGTACCTCAGGGCGGGATATGACATCACTGACTCCACCTCCAACCAGATGTCCATCTACCACCAAAACCACGCGCTGGTGGAGAGCAGGCGGGCGCAGCCGGGGCGGGGCAGCAG